GTGTACGTGTGCAAGGGTGTCATAGGTGTGTGCTAGTAGTGTGTGTGCAAGTGTCATAAATGTATGCAAGTAGTGTGTGAGTGTGTGTGTTAGGTGTGTGCGAGTAGTGTGTATGTGTGTGTTTCATAGGTGTGTGCAAAGAATGTGTGTGTGAGCGTTTCAGTGTATTTTACCCTAAACGGCGCCCCATAAGACAGAACTCGTGTTTAATTCATGAGACTGAAAGTGTCATACACACCCCCCTCTCTCTCACTCACTCGCTCGCTCACTCACTCACTCGCTCCCCCACAGCAGTTTCATTACTCTTTTCCTCCAGCTTGTCTGCTGCTGCCACCCTGAGGATATTTGTGCAGCATCCAATACAATCCAGTCCCATCAGAGAGAGAGAGAGAGAGAGAGAGAGAGAGAGAGAGAGAGAGAGAGAGAGAGAGAGAGAATACAAAACAAAGAGAAGACAAACCACAAAGAAAAAGTAAGTGTAAAATGATCCTCACATCAATTTTAACTAAAGCTCCGCTGCTCAAAGTGTTCGATACCGAAGACAACAAAAGGTATTGAACGAGCTACACAACAATGGGCACCACCGTGGAGCTCCGCGACAGGCCTCACTACAGAAACTCATGGTTCAAAGTACATCACAAATTCAAAAAGCGAACTCGAGAAATGACCGTGGAACCATATCACACACCAACAAAAACTAGGAAACTCGTGGTTAGAACCACAAATATGGACTCACCCGGAACCAACAAAAACAAAACTCATTTCTGGTCGAACCAGAACTATGGGCCCCACCGCAGAGCTTCCTGACAGGCCTCGCTGTAAAAACTCCTCATTGAAACCTTCAATACACACCAAGCATGAACCAACAAGAACACTCACTATACTCTTAAACAAGATGGTTCTTCATGGGTTATTTAGTAAAGACCGAGGCATTTTATTTAGAACCATGAACACTCAAAGAAGCATTTACATGATTAAACAGTTCTCTGCATGGTGAAATGGTTCTTCAGAATGATGGACTGATGTGTCGGTTCTATATTGCACCAAAAAGGGTTCTGCTATTGTTTCAGTGTCAGGCTTGTAACAATAGAAGAACGCTTTTTGGTGCTATATAGAACCATTTTCAAAAATGTTCTATATAGAACCATATACAACACATTCTCTATCAATCTGAATGGAAGGAACCATTTAATCATACAAATGGTTCTTTGAGTGTTCATGGTTTTATATAGAACCACTGTCTTTACTAACCATTGAAGAACCATCTTTTATGAGTGCATAAGAACCCAAAACCTCAAATGCACTATGTTTAACTTTTATTTACTTTTATCTCTCTCAGGTGGAGCTCCCTGACAGGTCTCACTGTGGAGCTGCGTGACAGGGCTCACAGAGGAGCTTTATGATGGGCCCTACGGCGGAGCTCCGCGACAGGCTTGCCTTCTAAGGGCTGGCAGGTAATAATTCACAGAGCTTCCTGGAGACGGAGATAAACGTGTGGACACTGCGGGAGTCCCTCAACTCTGCCCTGTCACACTCACACACACACACACACACACACACACACACACACACACGTAAAAACAATGGAGAAACCTGTAGCTGGAGACACGCTACACACACAATGAAGATACCTATGCCAAAAGACACGCTACGACACACACACACACACTGCATCTTGTCTCAATCCATCACAGCCCTCAGGAGGACGAAAGCTCGGGGCCAGGGAGCGAGGGAGTGAGGACGTGAGGAATGGAGGGAGGAGCACAGGAATGAGAAAGGAAGAGACAGAGGAAAAGAAAAAGGATAAAGCGGGCGAATGACAGAACGAGATCTTCACACACATGAGCTAGAGACGTTACTTATACAAACACACATTTCACACACACTTTCTCTCCACAATGGCCCCATTATAAAAACTCACTGTTGGAACCACATCACAAACCATGGACTTATCTAGAACCGACAAGAACAAACGCTGATGTCTGACTCAGACCTCATGAGAACTATGGGCCCCACCGCAGAGCTCCACAATAGGCCCCGTTATGGGTTGGAACCACACTGCTTTCATACCCATCCGGTCATTCCCAAACAGTCCTGTCACTCTCAAACTCATCCTGTCATTCCTGAACCTGCTCTGATGTTCCTGAACCCTGCCTATTGTCCCTGAATCCCCTCTGACCTTTCCTGTCCTTCCCAAACCTGCGCTATTGTTCCTGAACCCTTTCTATTGTTTCCGAGCCCGTTCTGTCATTCCCGAACCTTTCCTGTCATTCCTGAACTTGCTCTGTCATTCCTGAACCCCCTCTGATGCTCCTGAACCCTTCCTATCTTCCCTAAACCTGCTGTGTTGTTCCCAAGCCCTTCCTGTCATTCCTGAACCCTTCCTGTCATTTTCAAATCCACTCTGTCATTCCTGAAAGTTTCCTGTTGTTTTTCGAACATGCTCTGTCGTTTTTGAACCCGCTCTATCATTCCTGAACCCATTCTGTTGTTCCCAAACCCACACTGTTGTTCCCGAACCCTTTCTATCATTTTTGAACCCACTCTGTCATTCCCGACCTCTTCCTGTTGTTCTTAAACCCACTTTAACCCACTTTGTCATTCCCGAACCCTTCCGGTCATTCTTGATCCATTCCTATCATTCCTAACCCTTTTACTGTCAATTTTGAACCTACTCTGTTCTTTCCAAACCATTTCTTTCGTTCTCAAACCTGCTTTGTCGATGCTGAACCCACTGTGCTGTTTCTGAACCCTTCCCATTGTCTTTGAATCCTTCCTGTCCTTCCCAAACCATTCCTGTCATTCTTGAACTTGCTCTGTCATTCCTGAACCCACTGTGCCATTTCTGAACCCTTCCCATTGTTCTTGAATCCTTTCTGTTGTTCTCAAACCCTTCCTGTCATTCTTGTTATTCCCGAACCCTTGCCATTGTCCTGAACTCACTCTGTTGTTCCTGAACCTCCTCTGAGCTTTCCTGTCCTTTCCAAACCTGCGCTGTTGTTCCTGAACACTTCTATTGTTCTTGAACCTGCTCTATCATTCCCAAACCTTTCCTGTCATTTTCAAACTTGCTGTGTCATTCTTAAATCCCTCCTGTTGTTCTCGAACCTACTCTTCATTCTCAAATCTGTACTGTCGTTCCCAAACCCTTACTACCATTCCCGAACCCTTCCTGTCATTTCTGAACCCTTCCTGTCATCCCCGAACCCACTCTGTTGTTCCCAAAACCTTCTTGTTGTTCTCAAACCTGCTCTGTCGTTTCTGAACCCTTCCTATTGTTTTTAAATCCTTTCTGTTGTTCTCGAACCCTTCCTGTCATTCCTGTGCCCTTCCTGTCATGCTTAACCCACTCTGTCATTCTCAAACCTGCTTGGTCATTCCCGAACCCTTCCTGTCATTCCTGAACCCTTTCTGTCATTTTTAACCCACTCTGTCATTCTCAAATCTGCTTTGTCATTCCCAAACCCTTCTGGTCATTCCCAAACCCTTCCTGTCATTCACGAACCCACTGTGTAGTTTTTGAACCCACTCTGTTGTTCTCAAACCCGTGTGGTGGCAAAGCACCTTGGCATTCCTAAACCCTTCCCGTATTTTCCGAACCCGCGCTGTCATTCCTGAACCCCTCCTGTTCTTCTTAAACCGACGCTGTCATACCTAAACCCTTCCTATCAAATTTGAACCCTTCCTGTTATTTTTGAAGCCGTTCTGTCCTTCCCAAACCCTTCCTGTCGTTCTCGAACCTGCTCTGTCGTTCTCAAACCCTTCCTGTCGTTCTCGAACCTGTGCCGTCATTCCTGAACTCCACTCTGCTGTTCACAAACCCATCCTGTCAGTCTCAATCCTACTCTGTAGCTCTCAAAGCACTCCTGTCATTTTTACACTCGTTCCGTCGTTCTCTAACCCACTCTGTCGCTCTCAACCCTGTTCTGTTGTTCTATGATGTGCCCTGTCATTCACAAACCCGTTCTATCGTTCTCTTACTCATCCTGTCGTTCTGGCATGTACCAGGTACATACAACTCACTATGGTTTCTCTGGTTCTCTCTGTTCTTTTCTGCCTGCAGGGCTAAAGAACATCAGACTGCACTACAGAGAGAGAGAGGAGAGAGAGAGAGAGAGAGAGAGAGAGAGAGAAATAGGAAGAGAGGAGAGAGAGAGAGAGAGAGAGAGAGAGAGAAAGAGAGGAGAGAGAAAGAGAGAGACAGAGAAAGAGCGCAAGAGAGCGAAAGAGATCTCACTCCATCTTTTCTGTTCTACCTCTATTGCTCCCTCCCTTTTCTATTCACTATGCCTCTTTTTCTTTTCTCACTCCCTCTTTTGTATTCTCACTCTATCCCTCTATCTCCCTTTCTTCTCTCATTTCCTCTTTTCTATACTCTCTCTATCCCTTTCTCCCTTTTTCTCTTTATCCCTCTTTTCTATTCTCTATCTATATTCCTCTTTTCCCTTTTCTCTCACTCCCTCTTTTCTCTCTCCCCTTTTCTACACTCTCCATCTCTCTCTTTCCCTTTTTTCTCTTCTCTATCCCTCTCTCTCTTTTCTATTCTCTATCTCTATCCCTCTCTTTCCCTTTCTTTTACTCTCTCTTTTCTCTTTTCTACCCCTCCTTTCTTTTCTCTCTCTCCCTGTTTAATTCTCTATCTCTCTCCTTTCCTGTCTCCCTTTCTTTTCTATCTCTCTCCCTCCCTCTCTCCTTTCTCCATCTTTCTTTTTCTCTTTCTCTCCCTCTTTTCTTTCTCTTTTTTCCCCTTTCTCATTTCCAAACTCTTTTTTTATTCCTCTTTTTCTCCCTCTCTCTCTCTCTCTCTCACACACACACAAACACACACACCTCTCTCGTCGCCCAGTGTGTGTATATATGTGTGTGTGTGTGTGTGTATATGTGTGTGTGTATGTGTGTGTGTGTGTGTATATGTGTGTGTGTATGTGTGTGTGTGTGTATATATGTGTGTGTATATGTGTGTGTATATGTGTGTGTGTGTGTGTGTGTGCTCCACTCACAGGTGACAATGACGAGCAGCGTTCGGGTGCAGAGGTTAGCAAGTCGTCTCCAGGGCTCGGACACGCGCTCGCAGACCGCCGGCACCACGATCTCCGCCGGGACGAAGAACTGCACCGCGAAACTCACGTAGATGCCGAACGAGTAGAGAACCTTCACCAGGAGATTAGACCTGCAGACACAATCAGACACCACCAGTGAACCTACACGAGTCTTCTGAGTTTATATGGAATGTTGATGATGGAAAATAGTGGAAAATCTGAAATAATACGTTTTCTTTGGGGACTATTTTGCCTCACAGCGCCCTGCATGTATCCCTCCACCATGAATGGAGTTTAAGGACAAAATCTTCTCAAAACTACCGTAAAACAGTGTCTCAGTCATCAGGCAGTGAATTCATAACCATTTACTGTAGTAACTTTCTGTGAGGGAGCTTTTAGAGGTGGACGTCTGGTTCCTATCACCACCACTGTGAACAGTTCTGACTCTCTAGAGTGGAGCGTTGCACACCAAACCACTCTGAATGACTCTGTTTACATCTTAAAGAAAACAGTTTACTTATTTTGAACTAATGGTTTACAAAGAAATGCAACCAATACATTAATATTTGTGACTAATTCAATCAACTGCAGTTATATCAGATTATATTTCATACGGAATCTACATAATAAAAAAAGAAATAGGGCAGAGCAGGTACTATTTGGGTGGTGGGTCATTCTCAGCACTGCAGTAACACTGACGTGGTGGTGGTGTGTTAGTGTGTGTTGCGCTGGTCTGAGTGGATCAGACACAGCAGCGCTGCTGGAGTTTTTAAACACCTCAGTGTCACTGCTGGACTGAGAATAGTCCACCAACCAAAAATACCCAGCCAACAGCGTCCCTGTGGGCAGCGTCCTGTGACTGATGAAGGACTGGAGGATGACCAACACAAACTGTGCAGCAGCAGATGAGCTATCGTCTCTGGCTTTACATCTACGAGGTGGACCGACAAGGTAGGAGTGTCTAATAGAGTGGACACTGAGTGGACACAGTGTTTAAAAACTCCAGCAGCACTGCTGTGTCTGATCCACTCGTACCAGCACAACACACACTAACACACCACCACCACGTCAGTGTTACTGCAGTGCTGAGAATGATCCACCACCCGAATAGTACCTGCTCTATGAGGGTCCATGGGGGCCCTGACCACTGAAGAACAGGGTGCAGAGAAACAGATGGACCACAGTCTGTAAGTGTAGAACTACAGAGTGAAACTATGTGATCAGTGGAGCTAAAGAAGTGGACAGTGAGTGTAGAAATGAGGAGATGGACCTGTTAAAGCGTCCATTAACAAATCAACACAGTGACTCTAGTGTCCACTGTGTGAACTATAGCTTCAAATGAAAGTGTTAGCAAAGATAGAGGAGAATTAACAATGGAAGCTAATGCTAATGGTGCTCTTGCTGCTGTTAGCGGTTAGCTAGCACCTTCATTGTTGTTGTAAGACTCTAATGTGCCTGAATTAGCGCATTATCTGATCCTTTCATCGTTATACACGAGGAAACGCTGCTCAACAAATTCATTCACGACGCAGAACCAATAAAAGCCACCGTTCTGCAGTTCAGCGGAGCAGATTCAGCCGGAGGGACTCCGGCGCTCTGACTCACATTAAAAGCACATTAGCTCTGAAGCCCTGGCTAATATCCTCACTACACCGGGCTCATGAATCAGATTTAACAGCGCCGCTCGATCTCCGGTAGCTCTTCAGAGGGGTCCGGAGGGGATCGGACTCGCTCAGACTTTCCCAAGCAAAACAGTGAAGAAGGATCTCAGGAGAGACAGACTTCACACAAAAGTGCTTCAGAAAAACAAGAGAACCTCTCAAACGTTCCCTCACAGTGAACAAATCAAATCAATCATACCAAAAAAAAACTTAGTGGTCAAAGTTTGAGTCTTTACACAAAAGCACAGCCAGAATTCAGGCTTCGCTTCAGGCTGCTGCTAATGTTTTTAGCTTTATGCTAACGCACTTCAGTCCATGTTTATAGATAATTGTGTGTCATACAGGGTCAGAAACCACATGAAGAGGCCTATTAGAGATTAATAAACACCTCCACATGAGTTTGAGGCAAATGAGGGTACAGGCATCATGCTAACTGTTAGCTACATTACTTTAGCATCGTAGCCCAGAGTGCAAAAGCTAAAGGAGTAAACTTTAGCGACTAAACGCGTCTTGCCTGATCGATTTGGGGTAAACTGGGCAACTAGTTTTATTTTATATCAAACTATCACTTTAAGAAAGTCTTAGTTACACTCTTAAGTAGGTTCAAACAGGAAAAAAAGCATATTTTATTTATTTATTTATTAATTTTTTGTAGGAGACTACAAATCTATTATTTCATTCACAACTGTATTCAAAAGACTAAAGTACATTAAACGCAAAACGTTTTTGGGCCACCTTCACTTTAATATATGTGATTAATGCACTTTATATGCAAAGGTTTGAGCACCCTAGTCTTATTAATGTTTTTGTTGATTTACTTAGCAAAAATAAGTCAACACATCTTCTATAGAGAAGATGAAAAATAAATTAAAAAATAAATTGATTTTACTGTATGTACACAATTAAAAAATAATGGCTAACACTTAGCATGCTACACCAGCTTTGACTGTTTTTTCCCTCTTTCTCTTCGGGGACCCAGTGAAAAAAAAAAGAAGAGAGTCTTAGCATTAGCACGCTAATTGTTAGCCAGTTAGCCCCCCCAGTAAGACGTGGTCTGTGCCAAAGTTGTGGCATGTTATATTTTATGTTTTATGCATTTTAAGATGAATAAAAATCAACATGTAATTTGACCTGAGGTGCTCAAACTTTTGCACAGATCTGTGTATTTCCCTTTCATATGCGAGGTTATTCGCCCATTACGGTCATTTAGCGCCTGAAGACATGGAGGAAAATGCTGCGACACATTCGAAATAACTAAAAAAAATGCATCGTAACATTAGTATTATTATTTTAATATAAGTCTGATGCTTTTTTTTTCTCAAGATACATAAAACCGACAACAGATCCTGAGAGGAATCCCTCCTTTTAGGGCTCTGCGGATTAAAAATGAACAGATGGATTTTAAGCTCAGGTAAAGGCGGCAGCCAGGAGAGAATCTCTGCTAAACGGCGTATAAATCAGAGCTCGTCAATAAAGCGGCTCTACTTAAGACCTTTTATCTGGTTTAACAAGACAGGTGCTGCCAAATGATCAAAGACAGAGCGAGAAACATGAGACGCAAGTCATGTGGACTAAAGCTTTAACCCTCAGAGGTCTCAGTTACTGCTGTCAATGACAAAATGAAGCTGTAATTTTATATTAAAGGGCTCGTATCCTGCTTTATTCTGACATGCTATGTTTCCCTGGAGGTCCACTAATAACATTATTGATATTTTTATGTCAGAATTCATGTTTATGACCATTTCCAGCCTATTTCACACCTTAAAAAAAACAACAGGCTGCTTTTTTGTCACTGTCACTTTAAGTCTGACATATGCAAATGAGCTCTGCTCTGATTGGCTACCCTGTATGAGAGGGTCTCACTCAAAAACAGGCCGAAACACTCCCTATAACTTCAAAATGAAAATAACTGAGGTAAGACACAGCTGGAGGGTCTGGGTTCAGGTTTACTGTGGTTGCTATGGTCACCAGGTGTCGTGCGGCAGGTTGAGCGTGATGCTCCCTTTGATGTCGTCGCCGAAGCGCAGGTAGCCGAGCGTCGCCAGGGAGACGTAGAGGATGATGACGATGCCCATGCCGATGTCCAGAGCCTGAGGAAAGCGCTTCGGCTCCCTCATCTGGTTCTCCAGAGGAAGCACCTGCAGAACAATTACAGAATAAAAGTCAGACGTCAAAATCACACATATATTCTACACACACATGAAAATATTCTCAACTTTTAATGTAAGTTTAAAGAGTTTAGCCCATTTAAGTCATTTTGGAACATTTTTATTGGTGCAATCATCATGAAATGTTCACAAAATAGTTTGGAACCACTGTTTAAAAGTTTAGAATCACTGTTTGCAACAAAATAAAACCAAATTAGCTTTTTTATTTGTATTTTTTTTGTATTTTTTTTAATATGTTAAACGTAGGAAATAAGCACAAATTGCACTACAGAAAAAAGTTGCAGAAAAAATGGCATATTTAAGTATTTTAGTTTGTTAAGGACGTCAAATCAGCAAAACATTTAATTTGACCATTTTGGCCAAAAATGATATATATTGCTCTCTAATTCGAATTCCAGGAGGACAGCATTCTTCTCTCTCTTTCATGCCAGGGAGAGAGCTAGGCTTTATACTACTGGTGCATCCATCTATCTATCTATCTATCTATCTATCTATATAGATATCGCTGTTGTTGGAAGAAAACCTTGTATCTCTAAAATGGAAAACTTTACAGAAGAAGGAAAAAACCTACTTTACTTTTAATGTAAGTCAATGGAACCAGAAGTTTTCCAAGTCATTTTAGGTCATTTCATTTGGTCCATTCATCATGAAATTTACACACAATGTAAAGAACAACAGGCAATTTCAAATTATGTCATAAACTGATGGAGATACAAGGTTTTCTTCAGACAGCAGCGATATATACATTATATATATATATATATATATATATATACACAAAACCCATACAGATGATAACACTCACCACTCCGATCCCTTCAAAAGCAAAGATGGCCGTCCCGAAAAAGAAGGGGAATTTACTCCAAGTGGAAACGAACGGGAGCTGCCGGGGGTCTCCGACATCCTACAGTCACCAACACACACAACACCGCAGTATTGATCTCCTCATGATTTATCAAAGGGAAGCTCTCCCTTTCTTTCTGATTCTACTCCATTTGATTCTCATTACAGACATTTTTGGAACTGAATTTGAAGATTTGTTTTAATGAATAAAATGTTCTTCAGATAAAATAAAATAAAATAATTTACAACTTATTTAAGAGGAGTAGAAGAATTTATGCAGCAACAAAATCTCTCTTTCACAGTGAAGCTGTGGAGGAAAAAAGGAATGACCTTAGTTTTCTATGATTTGGGCCCTTTAAAGCTAACAGGACAGCTCCTCTGCTCACCGTGTCCCTGGACGATGCTGAAGAACATCTAATGCTTTACTTTGTGTGTTTGGTGTTTCTGCCCTGAAGCTGCTGCACTTTACTCACCATCACTCCTCTCACTCTCTCACTCTCTCACTCTCCACCTTCAACATTTTTATGTCATTTTATTACTGCTGATTACTATTTTAGCCAGTTTGTATTTTTCTTTAAAGATCATTCATATTTATAACACAAACTTTACAAATAGTTTTGTTCTTTTTTTTTAAGCCCCAAGTCAATATTTTACATATTTGGTGGTTTAGCACTTTGTGTTTAATGTAGTCAAGCTGCTTTATAAATACGACTCATAGTAATAATAACAACAATAATACTACCACTAATAAAAAAGAGAGTATTATTACTTACATATTAATAACAACAAAGAATTTATCATTATCGCTGTTGTTGTTTGGATGTTATTATTATGGCAGTAACCCGCAGCACAGACTCACGTGGAGGATGTAGGTGAAGATGAGCACCAGGCTGATGGCCATGCAGACGTTGGCAGCGGCCGAGAGGGCGGCCATGCTCCTCAGGTCAGTGATGAAGGACACGAGGATGAGGAGGGGCAGCAGGAAGAGCATGTACACCCGCTGGTCCAGCATCATTGCCCCGGAAACCGCAGCATCAGTACCGCCCCCCTCTGAGCTGTTAGAGTACAGCGTCATCACCGGCGCTGCTGCTGTAGAGTTTAGACGGTGACCCTCCACCACCTGCACACACAAACACAGGCCTAGTTTACCTGTTTCTTTATCTTTAAGGCTGGATTGTGATTGGACAAGAGTGTTTACCCGGTTGTCTATGTATAAGGCTGGATTGTGATTGGACGAGAGTGTTTGCCTGTTTGTCTATGTGTAAGGCTGGATTGTGATTGGACGAGAGTGTTTACCTGTTTGTCTATGTGTAAGGCTGGATTGTAATTGGACGAGGGCGTTTACCCGTTTGTTTATCTATAAGGCTGGATTGTGATTGGACGAGGGCGTTTACCCGTTTGTTTATGTATAAGGCTGGATTGTGATTGGACGAGCGTATTTACCTGTTTGGGTATGTGTAAGGCTGGATTGTGATTGGACAAGAGTTTTTACCTGTTTGTTTATCTATAAGGCTGGACTGTGATTGGACGAGCGCATTTATCTGTTTGTTTATGTGTAAGGCTGGATTGTGATTGGACAAGCGCGTATACCTGTTTCTCTATGTGTAAGGCTGTATTGTGATTAGACGATCATGTTCACCTGTTTGTTTATGTGTAAGGCTGGACTGTGATTGGATGAGCATATCTACCTATTTATGGATAAAACTGGATTGTGAATGGACGAGCATGTTTACTTGTTTGTTTACATATAAGGTCGGATTGTGATTGGACAAGCACATTTACCTGTTTGTTTATCTGTAAGGCTGGATTGTGATTGGACAAGCGCATTTACCCGTTTGTTTATCTGTAAGGCTGGACTGTGATTTGACAAGCGCGTTTACCTGTTTGTTTATGTGTAAGGATGGATTGTGATTGGACCAGAGTGTTTACCTGCTTAATGTTTTCTGCCAGGAAGACAAAGTAAACACTACAGAAGCCCAGTTGGGTCAAAACCAGGAAGAAGTTCACCAAGTGTCTGAAAAGGAAAACGATGATGAAAACATTAAGAGAAATAAGAAAAAACAGAGAGAAAAACTGCCCAATAAAGAAAAAGATAAAAGGACATCATCACTGGAGCTGCCAGAGATCTTCCAACACAAGAGTGATTTTAAAGCCACTGGTAGAACATTTATTGTTGAAAATGTTATTAGATACAAAAATAATATTAAGAGCTTTTCTAGAACTTTTATTGAGGAAATTTGTTATATTAAGTAATATTAAAGGCATT